CAGAAATTTCAGCATAAACATACAATGACATGGAGGCTTTTTCCCCTGTTTTTTGAAACACAAAGCATCCTTGGTGAGTTTAGATTTCTATGGCAGAAATCTGCACGTGGCTAATAATTCTATTCATAAGTAGGAAGTGTGGCTACTTTGACAGATCATGGCTCAATAACAAGCATGCAGGTCTAAGTTATCACACAGTTTGGATGTGAATTCAACATCAGGATAATGACTGTTGCCAAGGATTTGTGCTTGCTGTCGCTTCATACCAGTGTTGTCTGTCAAAATGTCTCTTTTTCTCATACAGAAGCCATAGAATTTTTATGAATAGCAATTACTTACAATATACAATGCACTCTTTAGCCCCTCATTATTTGGTAGTCTCTTTGTTAAATGTAGTCAACCATTTTCATCTAAATTATTTATTTATACTGTATATTTGACAAGCATATATTTCTCACTTTATATTCTCATGGCATTTAAAGCTTCCTGAAGAGTTATGTTTTTTTTTTAATATTGTCATTTTTAAAACTTGTCTTTATCCTATTACCATTTTAATGGTAATTAAACTCTCTAATTGGAATAAATACAAATAAGAAAATGTAAACACGAAGGAAAATGACCCTAAGTACATTCAATAATAAATCACCAGCTTAAAATACTGGATAGCAGATAAAAGAAATAAACCCACATATGTTTGGTGCATGGAAACTTGTATAAAATCTGGAGTACACAAAGCACAAAGATTTCACTAATCGTCATCCTACCTTTCCTCCAATCTGATGAAAGAAATAACCTCTAAAGATATAAATAACTTTCTACAACTGCTAGATAAAGTGTGATTTAAACATCATGGAAAGTGAATAATAGAAGTGGTAATAATATATGTGAAGAATTTCCCCCAAATTTTATTCTGAACACCAGAAGAAAATATAATTCTAGTTCGACCTAGAAACATTGGTAAAGATACCTTGATTGCAGAGCAATTTTCAGTTATTTTATAACACATACTAAGTCGAATTTTTATTTGTAACTCAATGACTGAATAATAACTAAGGTGTTTGTTCAAATTACACACATGCTGTAAAGGAGAAATTCAGTGTCTGTTAAACTGAACTTGCTCGTTTTTGTAGGAGGAAATCTAAACAACAAGAACAATTTGTAAAATTTGTAAAAAGGACCCACATCTGAGCGTAGGATCAGGGCATAAATCATCCTACCCAAAGGAAAAAAAGAATACGACTTCTGCTTGTGCAAAAGTGCAAAGGAGTAAAAATAAAGTATATCTTAAATCTAGAGTCAGGGGAGGCTATAGATATCGTATAAAGATTTTCCAGAGGAAATTTAAATTTTCAAAAAGAAGCGATATAGTCTTTTAACATTTTTAAAGTAAATAATATATTAATGTTTGGATCTGTAGAGTTTTTTTTATGGCTTGAAGGAAAAATCCGAGAAAAAGTTATGAATTATGAAAAGTGTAATTTGTTGGTCAATGGAGGTTGAAAACAGTGAAAGCATTGTCTTGCTTCATTAACCACTGGGCAGTGTTCCCCTCACTTTGTTCTGCTGCTCTTCTCATGGTGGGAACTGACAGCTCATCTTTGGAATGATGAGATTACTAAACTTAAACTGTCCCTAGAAAAGGCAATATAACCAAATGTTTATATTTCAAAAATAGTCAGACTGATTCCAATTCAGAATAGCCAAGATAACTAAAATGACATAAAAAATGAATGAATAGATTAGGCACTGTTAGTCTCCTTGAAAGCAAGATTTGTCTGTGAAAAAATAACCCAGATAATCTATAAGAAGAAGTTGTTGGCAATTCACTTTTAAAACTGATTTAAGTCCTAATGTAATGTACTAAAAATAATTTGTCCCCTCAGGGAACTAAAAGAGTTGTTATTACACTCAGCTGCAAGCAGGATAAAAAAAGCACATTCTATTAAGAATACATACAGGGCTTCCCTGGTGGCACAGTGGTTGAGAGTCCGCCTGCCGATGCAGGGGACACGGGTTCGTGCCCTGGTCCGGGAAGATCCCACATGCCGCGGAGTGGCTGGACCCGTGAGCCATGGCTGCTGAGCCTGTGCGTCCGGAGCCTGTGCTCCGCAACAGGAGAGGCCACAACAGTGAGAGGCCCGCGTACTGCAAAAAATTAAAAAAAAAAGCATACATACAGCTGATTCACTTTGTTGTACAGCAGAAATTAACACAACATTGTAAAGCAATTATGCTCCAATAAAAATGTTAAAAAAAAAAAAAGGAAAGAAAAGAAAATCATGAGGGACTTCCCTGGTGGTCCAGTGGCTAAGACTCCGCAATCCCAATGCAGGGGGCCTGGGTTCAATCCCTAGTCAGGGAACTAGTGCTGCTATTAGAGATCCTGCGTCCCACAACTAAAGATCCCACATGCTGCAACTAAAAGATCCCACAAACCACAACTAAAGATCCCACATGCCACAACGAAGATCCCGCATGCTGCCGCTAAGACCCAGTGCAGCCAAATAAACAAATATTTTACAAAAAGAAAATCATGCAATTACTTTCTTAGATGATCATCAGCTAAAAATTATTAAAAAAATATTTTATATGTGGGATAGAAAGATATTAATTGTTTAGAACATTCTGTTAGTTTTAAAATGCAATTTTAATTTGGAAATCTTCCACCTCAGCATTTAGAGAAACCTCCTATAAATATAGCAGAACTACCCCTAGATACCTGTTGTCAATAAATAATTGATTCTGCTTCATGCCTCAAAGGCCAACACTCTGTTCCAGTTCACCTGAGAATACATCAGACTACAGCTGGGTAGGAAAATTTCTTATTATGTTGTTTCCTTGAAGTAGCCACAGGAATGAAGCTAGACTTTTCCAGTCATGTGGCCTCCTAGTGGTAAGTCGTAAAATGGGAGGATCAGACCTTCTTTGGTATTGAACTCACACTGTTGGTGATTAGTTATCTTTTGTGGGGGAAGGCTCCTGGCACAGCAATTTTTACTGTATTACATACAAATGTAACACGAAGTGACAGAGAAAAAACACTGTAAGAACACAAGAACGAGAGAAAATAAGGATAATATAAATATAATAAAAAGTAAATTAAAACCACAGATAATAACATGAGAATAAAGTGACTCATCACTGCATGGTTGCAAAGAATGGATTTAATATATGTGGGCAGAATTTGTACATGTACAACGTGTTAATTAGTGAAGAAAAGCACAACCTCTGTAATATAAGTAAAGGAACAACAAATTGACTATATTTTAATAATTATTTCTCATAAAAAGATCACAAAGATGGCGGAAGAAAGGTGGCAAGGAAAAAAAGGATGACAAGAGAAGTTTTAACCTCAATCGGGGGAAAATGTCTTTACCATAGAGAAAATTGCCTTTCACTGATAATCATATTAATACCAATGGATCTTAGATTACCATTAGCCTTTATGAACTTGACCCCTTTCAGGTTGAAACTCATCATTTTCTTTTTCATGAAAGTAAAAGACCTCTGGGCATTGTCTTTGACTTTCTATTCAATTGCCCAGAGAGGGTTACTTCATTTTCTAGGTACATCATAATCAAAGTTGATGGTAACAGACAATAGTGACAGAAAAGAAGTTAGGATCCACACAAAGAAATAGACGTAGCACATTTAAACAAACTATAAAAACCAGGTGGTAGGAAAAGTGTCACATGAAAATAAAAGATTGACATGTTAAAAAAAAGGGCAAACAAAACCAGAGTTAGAGACTCAGAATCTAAGAAGGAATATGAGAAAAAAGCAGAAAGAAACTGAATAAATAAAATTACAGTTTCACAAAAGATAGAATAAAAAGTGAATGCAGTACTATTTTGAAAAGGAAAATTGGTAAAAATAAATTCTAAAAGCAATAAAAAATGTGCAAATACACATTATATTAGCATTGGCATTTGTATAAAGAACTACTTAAAAATTCTATTTAGAAATTTTTTTCCATTGTCTTATTGGGAGAAACCAGTGTTTTTTCCACTGTCAATTGGGAGGAACTATCCTGAGAAAACTATGTCTCTACAATATAACCACTGGGTAATAATTTTCTAAAAATTATCTAGCCATATAGCTAGCACACTGTGTCAATGATCTCATATGTTGCTAATATGCACTCATAGCTCAGAGGAATAAGGCAAAACAAAGGTTAGCTGAAAGTCTAGATTTCACTTTCACCTAAAACTTAGCGACATATAAAAAAAATCAATCTGTTCTAAGATATAAATATGACCTAGCACTTCTATAAGGAGATTAACACAATCCCTAATTTAAGAATAGTTTCTTCAATGCTTTTATAGTCCACATTTTCTTTTTAATGTAAAAACTATGGCATCACGTTTAGCCAGCCAATAGTCAATACCTGACAGACACTTTTTTGTTCTTTCACTTTCTAATAGAGAAAAAACACAGGAAAAATACCTCTTGTCTCCTCTGCTTTATATTTCTGAGAAGTGCAGTAGAGTATAATAGTTGAGTTTTGGCTGTGGAGTTAGATACATTCAGGTTCAAACTGTACCTCTCTACCTAGCAGCTGTGTGTTCTTAATGAACCTCTCTAGGTCTTTGTTTCCTCATATATAAAATGGAGATGTCTAAAATACTGTCTGCCTTACATTCCTCCCAGAGTTGTTTTGAGTACTAAATAAATATAATGTAGGTTAAGCACTCAGCACAGTGAGTGGTATATAGCAAATATCATCTGCCTTGCCATTCCTGTTATCATCACTATCCTACCTGTCCACAAGTCAGACTCTAGGAATAATTTATGTTTATTGCATCATCTATCTTTTTTCTTCCCATAAAATAGAGAAAAAAAAAAAAAGGAAGGGCTGTAACCCAGGCAACAAACATCACATCTCCAAATTGTGTTTGACATAATCTCTACTAAATACTGAGCATTTACATAGACAACCTTCTTTAAGCACTTTTATCCCCTTCAGAATTCAGTTTAAGCTGCTGAAATAATATTCTTACCTTGGTAAATCATTCGAAATATATTTGTAAATTGGGTGAACGGTATCCCCATTGAAGGTGTCTTCAGGGTTGCTTCACTGTGATACCTCCGTGGCTTTAGTCAAGGGTGACAAAGGAGACCGAGAAAGTGCTGCTCTGTGATCTTCTGTCATTGTCAGCTCAAAATGAGGAAGAATGTTATTTAATTTAAAATGTAAAATCCTCCTGGGTTATTAACTGAGGCTGGGCATTAATCACAATTTACTTCTCATCATGTTCTAGAGCATGTAGCCGCTGCTAAATGTGAAATCTCATTAGAAACAAACAGAGATGAGAGCCTAAAGGAAGACAAAAATATGAATCTAAGTCTTTGATAAGTATAATCCTATTTAAGAAAAAAATGATAATTTGTTGCAAAGTATTTTAAGTTTTGCTATTTGCTAAAACATCGCTAATTATACAAACTTAACATGAGGACTATGTTATTGAAAAGTGCAGCACAATGCTTTTTTTTTTTTGCCCTTTCTCCTTCCTTTTTTTGGAAGCTACCTTCCCCTAGATTCTGTTGGGAGTTATGTGGCCATGCTTTCCTGAAAGTGAATGTATCCAAGGCTAGACAATCAAAGTACCTTCCCCAGACACAGGGGGGAATCAGAGTTTAGATGGAGAAGACAAAGTAGTGCTCTGTTCTTTAGAATTGCTAGCTTTAAGAACAATGTAAACTTCTACCATTGAGAATGAAGCAAAAACAGATGAAAGAAAAAGAGATGGAGAGAGATTAAAAAGTGAGAGATTCTTGATGACAACATCTGAATCCCTGAACTTTGCTATTAAAAACAACCACATCTCTTGAGTTTCCTGGGTATGTGAGTCAGCAGATTCCTTTTTGTTTGTTTAAGCTAGTTTGAGTTGGGATTCTATTTGTAACCTAGACATCTTGAATAATGCACACAGACAACTTAAATTTTCTTAAGACCAAAACAATATGTTCATAAGAAATGATATCAATGAATGTCATAGGGTTCTTTCCAGGGTATAATCACCCCATTCACATACTGATACAAATAGCTACAAAGTCTCAGGTCTGAGTACCCCACTAAGGTAAGGAGGAGTCCCAAGGTAACATGACATATCACAACTAAGGGAAGGATATATTACTTGTAAGGTAATAAAAAATGCTACTTTACCTTTTTTCTGATATTCTGAAATAAACGCATTCATTCATGCACAGGTTATTTCTTGAGCACCTACAATGTACTTGGCATTGTTCTAGGCACTCAGAATTCTTTTAGTTAACAAAGCAGAAAATATCGTGCCCTTGTGGAGCTTACGTTCTAGTGGAGGCAGATGATAAATAATAAACATGAGATATCAGTACATCGTAAGAGGTTAAATGATAAATGCCATGGAAAAAGACTGATTAGGAAGGATAGTTTGGGAATATGAAGGTGGAGGGAATTGCAATTTTAAATAGGTTTGTCAGCATAGGCTTCACTGAGGTGGTAATATCTGGGCAAAGACTTGAAAGAGTCAAGGAAAGTAGCCATCCAATACCCAGGGAAGAGTAAGAAGGCCGTAAGATGGGGTATATCTGGCAGATGTGAGGAACAGCACAAGTAGATGAATAGGTGAAAAAGAAGAAATGTAGTTGTGATGAGGTTAGAAAGACAATGGGGGTGAGGGGGTGGAGATAACATAGGGCCTTTAGGACACTGTCAGGACTTTAAGTGAATTAGAGAGTCCATGGAGTGTTCGGAGCAGGGGAGTTATATGACTTTAAAAAAAAGATAATTTTGGCTGCTTTGTTAAGAATGTATCAAATGCAACAAAATTTCAATGTCCTAATTTGTCCATATATTAATATATTCTAATACTTGTATAAATTCTCTGTGGTAGAGACAGCTGTCTGCCAACATCCATTCTATCCATTCCTTCCTTCTTCTATGATACTAGAATCCCTGATTTTTAACTGAGGCATATGGTTGCCCAAAATAAAGACTATTTTCTAGTCTCCCTTACAACTTGGTAAAGCCATATAAAACAAGTCTGGCCAATCAAATATTAGTGGAAACAATCAATGCAGGTGAGTTCATCTTTCTTTTCTCTCCTTTCTACTACCTAGAATGAAAACATGAAGGCTGGCACTAGACAGGTCATCTTTATCTTTGATATGATGCTAGGAATGAAAACCATGCCCCAGGGAAGATGGAAGCAGTTTGAATCTGACAACATGGGGTACCATACCAACTCTAGACTACCTACCTCCAGACTTTTACATTAGAAATAAATTTCTAGCTGTGCAAAACAATGTTAATTTGGGTCTTTGTTGTTTGCAGTTTAACCTAATCCTGAAACTCCTGATATTCCTTGAACAAAGTTGCTTTCAAAAACCTAAAATATATGACATTGGCTTAGACTTAAGAAATGGAAAGAACACTAGGATGGCTTGGAATCTAAATTGAATTGAGAGTCCAGTAATTTGGGTCTTTGGGTCCTTTTAGGCTCACCAAGCTTCCCCAATCACATAAGACAATTCCTTAAGGTAAATCAATCAATCAATCAATCAATCTCTCTCTCCATATATATACGCACACACATATGTACATATACATATGTATATATATAATGTATTATATTAATATATTATTAATGTATGTATAATTATATATTAATAAATGTGTGTGCATTTATATATACACACACATACATCCTGTTGGTTTTGTTTCTATGGAGAACCCTGATACCCCTCTTTCAAAGACCAGGTCAGCCTGCAGGCTGAGCTAGAACTAGGGCCAGAAAGACTTTCCCGAAGCATGGACCAGTAGAGCCAGTCAGATGATGGAAGGCAATGGGATCAGTAGTGTTGATGTGGGTCAGTAAAGAGCTATGGCAACCACAGTAACACCAAAAGCACCAGCAGCAAAAAGAGACAAACTGGCCAACAGTCTCCTCATCTGGGAGAGGGCACCTGAAGGACTACCTTCTTGAACTATGATTAACTCCTTAGATAATCTACAACACAGGAAGCTCAAAGGGTCTGATGCTAGACTTGCTGTTAGTTAAGCTTATGGAAGTATAAAAGAACTATAACATAACTTATACTCACAAGTATTACATATCAATAACACATAAGATCATGTCTTTCTCTGCCACTTTCTAGCTATGGGACCTTGAATCTTATAACCTTTCTGAGCTTTGGTCCTCTCATTTGCAAAACCAGTTATCTGCATGGTTATGAGGATTAAATAAACAAAACTGTGAATGTGAAAGCATTTAGCATAGTGCTTGCCACATGGTAGACATCCATTAAATGTTAGGTGAATGTGAATCACTATCAAAGCAAGAAAAGTTATCTCTCTACATAGTTTAATAAGAGAAGGTACTTTTCTCTGCTCAGCACTCCTCTGGTCTTCCAACTGGAGACTAAAGGGCTGTTGCCCTTCACAGTCTCCCTCCCCCCTTAAGTCTCACAATAGGAGGGCTGAGGCTTCCACAAAAACCATTGCCTGCTCAGTTCTCATAGATCAGGTTCTTCTTAATTGGGGAATGCTTATAAGTGAAAAAATCCAACTGCGCATAGCAAGGAAAATCATATGATTAGAGAGTAAATCACCTTGCAGAACGAAATCCCTTGAGTATCCTGGTGTGTTTATTATATAATCCAATTATTAAAAAATAAAAAAATTTGCACTGAACTACTGAAAAATATCTCTTGAAATATAGCAATAGCTTTACTTTTTACTTAATGAATGATTACAATCCCAATTTTCACCAAAAGAGGTAATCATTTTAGTGATGGTTATAGTTTTTTTTTTTCACATAAAACACCTTCTGGATGCTTTTAGGTGGAATGAGTTATGTAAGTGTGAAATCATTACCATTATTAAGTGCAATATTTCTTCTGTAACATTACTTTAAAAACAGTGTCATCCTCACTAAAAGTAGAATGTATTAACAGGTTAAGTAGAATATGCAGACTACAGTAGGTTTTCAGATAACATTGTGACACATTACTAATTAAATGAGAACTAATTGTTAATTAGAAATTAAAGAAATAAAAATGTGTTAATTTTAATTTGACTAACATTAAATACTATGGTATTTTAGTAGAGTACAGAAAAAGCCACTGCCTTATGTTTTGTTAACATATGTAGAGTTTATTCACTGACACACTGAAAAACCACTATTTTTCTTTGCTTCCCATCCGTTAACAATTTGACATGAATACGAGTTCTCCTCTAATAGATCTGCTCTTCCCCTGGTTTTTTAAAAAAGCATTCAAGTTCACAGTGGTTATGAGCCTGGACACTAGAGCCAGAGTGTCTGGGTTTAAAACCCTGCTGTCCATTCACTGGCTGTGACACTTTGGACAAGTCATATAACCTCTTCGTGCATCAGGTTCCACCATTTGTAAAATGGGGTTAAGAATGGTAGCCACTTCAGATAGTAAAAGCAAATTGTGGGAGAAATTTATTTGCATATTTAAAATTTATTTGCATATTTAAAATTTATTTGCATATTTAAAATTTATTTGCATATTTAAAATTTATTTGCATATTTAAAGAAACTCCTGTCAGGAGTTTCAATATTCCTTAGTGCCTGTTTCTTTTGCAGTACAAATTTTCGAAGAAGAATATTGAATACTCTAATTCACTAGTACCTTGGTGCAAATGATTTTTGTCAGTTCTATTTCTTTCTTCAACTGGAAAGGATTGCATGAAACCACCTGGGGAAAGAATGAATAAATAGAGGCACACAGAAAGTGGGAAAAGAAGGTAGAAAGGAGAGAAGCAAGATCTGTCACACAAGTTTCCTAGTTCATAATTTTACTGTTAACCATGTACAGAAACATATTTTGTTCAGAAAAAATATTTTGCTTGATTTTTCTATTATTTCTTTGAAAATTCTCAAGAAAAATGTCAATAAATTGCTTGGGAAAACTTAAAAAAAAGAAAAGAAAAGAATGGTAGCCACTTCATAAAGTTGATGTACTTGCAACACAGTAGATACCAAGTGTCAGCTATTAAAGAGGAGAGGCTTGATGGTCTTCAAGTCAGGGCACTGAGTACCAATAACCAAGAGTACATGGAGACTTTGCAAGGGGCATGCAAGTGTGAATAGTTTTAAGTAAATCAATTTCCAGATCCTTGGCTTCCAGATATATGCTTTCCTA